GCACGTAGACCAGAGGCCACTAACTGAGCCATGGGCGCCTTGCCCGTGACACGCGAACACAAAACAGTATTGGATTCGTCATTGTTTGGCCCCTGCAAGATCTGACCTGGAAATCAGTTTCAAGCCAGCCACTCTTAGGAAATCAGGCCTTGCCACCCTGGTCCCACGTCCCACGGCGAGGCCTGCGGAACCACTGTGCATTTACGTGATGCGTGCGCTCCCTGTGGATTCAGTCATCCAGTGTGACTGACTCTGTGATGGCTCCACTTGACCCTGGCACATCCCTCCATGTCCCCTCTGCTTGGACCCAGGAAGAAGAGAGGGAGATAATGGAGACCGAGGCCTCCAGGCCAAGCAGGGCTGCAGGCGCCTCCCGCCAGCCTCCCTCGTCCTGTGCTCGCTCTCTCTGCAGTAGGTCTCCCTGCCTCGACACTTGCTGCTCTCCCCAGACTGCACAGGGTCCCCCCACCCACATAGACCAAGCACAGAGGACCCCAGGCTAGCGTGTACCCCTTCCTTATCTTGGGATAAGTCCACCGTGGTCCAGGTCAGGGCTCTCCTTGCACAGGGCCAGTCCAGTTATCTGGACCTACATCCAGGAAGATGCCCAGGATGGGCCACTTGGAGAGAGGTTAGCCTGTGGCCTCACCACAACCTCCCACCACCTAGGTCCCCCACTCTGGGCTAATAACAGTGGGGATGTATCTGTGATGAGTAAGCTTCAGTGCCCACAGGGGCCATTTGAATACAGCCCCCTAGAGTAGGGTCCACATTCCTGCTCCTCGAGGTGGGTCTTTTCGGCTTTGAGTCAGTGTCTGCGTGAATGTTGCCCTGTGGCTGGCTCTGCTCCCATGTGGAGACCCTCAGAGGGTGGATCCACTGCAGGGCAAGTGTCCATGGGATCTTGGGCTTGGCTGTGGTATGAGATAAAGGCCCCCAGAGTGAGCTGAGCCCCATAATGGAGAGCCTGTACCCAGAGGACTTCCCCCAGAGCCCAGGGAGCATGTACTCAGCTTGTGGGATTCCTAGAGGAAAGATCCACGCTCGGCCTGCTGCAGCAAGCCCACGGGTGCCTAGAGCCCCATCCCTGCCTGTCTACCAGCTTTCCCTTGGCAGCCCAGACCCCGTGATTGCCAGGTGCTAGGTGCCATAAACACTTGATACTATATTTATCACTTCTTGTCCATCTTGGCTCAGGCCTTCAGGCAACTGAGTGTTCATCCTTGTGCTAGGCCAAGTCTTGAATGCCTTGTGGCTAGTCACTTTTTGCACTTTGAAATGGGATCTCTCCGTTGTGCAGGCTGGCCTCACACCACCAGGTTCAGGCCATCTTCCTGTGCCAGCCTCCCTGGTGCTGGGGTTCCAGGCATGGCCAGCAGCTTAGAAACTGTGCTCCTAAGCGGCTTTGTCTTCATTCAGTAACTGAGCCCAGACAGGGACCGCAACCGGCCTGCTGGCTTCCCATCCTGGGCTTCCCATCCTGGGCTCTCTCCGTCTTGCCTCTTCTTCACAGGCCCCTTGCAGCATCCTTTCTCCCTGACAGCCACGCTCTCATCCCCAGCCTGCCTCTCCTCCCATGAAGCGCTTTCTCTTGTCCTCCCACAGGCCCCCGCCCGCCCGCGCGCCGCCTTCCACGCAGGCGACATTGCCAGCCAGGGAAGGGAGAGATGCAGGCTGGCATTCTGTCAAGGAATTAATTGAAAAATAAAACCATTAGGTGGGAACTGGAGAAATGCAGAAGTGGTGTTTGGAGGTTGGGGGGAGGGGGCAGGGCTGGGGGGCTGTTGGGGGCCGGCCGAGCTTTTTGTCAAGTTCATTTCGCGGTATTGATGTCTGGTGACAGTCACATGTTGTTTATCTTCAGGCGCAGCTGCGCCGTGGCAAGAAAATGCACGGCTTGTTTCGTTTATTTATTTCACACCTTCCCCGGGTTCTGCTTTGTGTTTGTTTGGTGAGGACCCACCGAGGCTTCCAGTGTGGGGAAGTGGGGTTTCCACAGCTGTTCCTGCCAGTCCAGCCGGCGCTGCATGTGGAGGCAGGCCAGTGGGGGGCTGGGTGGCGGCAGCCAAGACGCGGGGCCCAGCGTGCCCGTCCTACGGGATGGAATGGGGGTTCCCACCCCAACCCCTGGCTGTGGACTTGAGCCAGACCCACAGCAAGGTGCACCTTTTGACTCCCTCGTCCTCACGGCTGCCCCAGGAGGTGGCAGAGAACAGTGACATGCTCTGGGTGACTCGGCCGCTGATGGTGGAGTCTGTTGGGCTGGGGGCCTGGAGTTGTGGTCACTGCCTGGTCCCTGTGTCCCAGGCCCCCAGCACCTCCCTGGACAACTCGTTTTTCTAACCCGCAGCTGAAGGAGTGGCTGGTTGGTCCCCAAGCCCTGGGCTCCTCTTACTGGCTCTGCAGGTGGCAGCTGGTCCATCATTCACACTGGGCCAAGCAGAGTGTCACCAGACGCTGAGGTCACAGTCACTTCCTAGGGAGAGGCCAGGCCTTTGTGGGGGCTGGTTCTCTGTTGTGGGGACTCTGAGACCTCTAGAAGGAACCTGGTCTTAAACTGCCACCTCCACCTCCCTAGAAGTCTGAGTGTGAGCAGAGTGGCACATATGCAGGGCTTTCCCAAGTGTGACTAGTGCCAGTGAGCAAAAGGAGCGCCCATGGGCTCCAGGGACTGTGGGGGTGAGGGTCGCACGTCACAAACAGCCCATTGCTCCCTAGAGGCGGAGCGTGGAACAACCACTGCCCAGTAGGAGACTTGATGGCTAGGAATAGCCCCAGGCAAGATGTTCCCTGCACCTGGGTGCTTGAGAGAGCAGCTATTCAGAGAGGACAAAGCCCTGGGCGAGTTAGAGACTCGGTCTTTCTGGTGCCCTGAGCCCAGGCTAAGGGCAGTGGGTGCCATGAAGCTGTCCCCAAGGCTTGCTGCCCTAGGACTGTTAGCAGGGAAGTGTTCAGAGGCCCCCGGAGTCAGCTGGATTCTGACCGTGCCTCCAGAAGCAAGAGTTGCCCAGGTCTCTGTAGTGTGAGAGAAGTCGGTGGGAAAAAAATTCACGGAAAGTGTTCTTGGCCTCGAACATCCTTCCTTCTGCCCCTCATGCCATAGCCTGATCCCTACCGTCCCCTACCGTCCCCTGGCCATCTTCAGTCCGTCCATCACTCAGCAGACATTTACTGAGGGCTGCCAGGTACCAGGACAGCCCCAGCAAGAGATACAAACAGCAGTGAAGCCGGAAGGTCATGTGGGTGCTGTGGGGGGCCAGGGAAGCTTCACCTCAGATCCGAGGCCCCTGAGCAGTTCGGAAGAGCGTTCTAGACAGGTCATGGCAGTGCAAAGGCCCTGGGGTGAGAGGAATGGGGACCGGGATCCGGAAATGGATGACCAGCTCCCGTGGACCATTCGCCAACAGGATGACAGCTTCGGCTTCCCCCAGGGACAGGGCACAGCAGAGGGGCGGCAGAGCAGGAGGTGGACTCTGGCATTGGTTCAGCAGTCTCTCTGGTTGCCTCTGGTTCAGCGGGAGGGGTGTCAGATGCCCAGGCTGGGAACCTGCTCTGTTGTCGTCGTCTATTTCCAGCCCTATTACCTGCCCACGATTCAATTTCCTGAGGCCATTGTGCAGTGGGGATGAGATGCAGAGGAGGAGAGGACACCGCAGGGAGCCCGGCCGTCTCCTCGCCTTTCCACAGTCGGCCATGATGGGCATGGCTGCCAGACCTTGGCTCCCAGCCCGTGTCCTCCCCTCCCCTCCCCCCCCCCCGCCCCGTCCTCTCCCCACAGCGCAGCCTCCACCCCAGCCCCGGGCTCCGTTCACGCATCTCCCACTTGGATGCCCCATGGGAGAGCCCCAGCCAGGGACAGTGTCCCACACAGAAGGGCCTGTTGCATGATGGGAGAGGGGAGGCCCAGGCTGCGGCCAGGGAGACCAGGACGTGGGCTCTGCAGGCCTGAGGCTGATTCCGAACGCAGTATGGCATCTGCAGAGGGAGGCCGCCTGCAGAGGGAGGCCGCCGGGCTCAGGCCCCCTCAGGGGGCGGCAGCAGCCCATGTGTGCAGGAGCCCCCAGGGAAAGGCAAAGTTGATAGGGTGGGTTTGAGGGTGACTGGTGTGAGGACCGCCGTGGAGGAGGTGGGCTGGGTCCACATCCCCATAGCGTGGGAGACATGAGATGGGGGAAGGGATTCCAGGACCCACTCCCTCCCCCAGGAGGGAGCCAAGGTCATCCATGTCTGAGCCAGGCACAGTGCTCACATCTGCTGCCACGTAGAAGTGGGGTGAGTGTGCCCAGGGTGGGGGCGGGAGGCTTCACACAAGGAGTCGGAGTCTCCTGAAGGCAGGGGTTTGGGTGGGCAGCCTCTTTATAAATTAGGCCTTCGCTAGTGAATGGACGGTTAGACTAGCAGAGCGACTGACTGGTGGTGCAGGCAGCTCAGAGCCAGCCTCCCTCTTTCCTTGTCTGTATGTCTAAATCCGCCCTTGCCCCTTCCTCGGAAAACTCCTCTGCACTCATCAAAGCCCAAATCAAATAACCCCTCTCCTGCAAAGCCACCCTCATTGTTATGGTCCCCAGGCCTCTCTAGATTCCTTGGGCACTGCAGCTGCGCACCTAACCTTGAGCTGCTGACAGCCAAGCAGCCACACCCTCGGGGTCCCTGGCTGCCACAGAAGCAGCTGGCTCCTGCTTGTCTGCCCAGCTGTTGCCTGGGTTGGCCAGGCCTCTGGCCGGTGGGAAGGAGGCAGCTCCCAGGTGGCCACTGGCTCCCTAAAGTGGGCCCTTTGCTCCGTGGCGAGGATGGGAGAGGGCGCAGAGGTGGCCAGCAGCAGTGCGGGGCTGGAGAGAGGCGCCTGGCTGAGGCTGGACTAACCAGGGTCCTGTTTGGTCTCGCGTCCTTCTCCCATCCCCCACTCGTGTGCTCCCTATGCCCGCCCCGCACACCTCTGCCTCCCCCCTCACTGTTTAACCCTCTCTGGGTCCTTCTCTCCTCTCTGCCATCTGCCACAGAGCCCCCGAAGAAAAAGCGGTCTGCGGTGTTGGATGGGATCCTGGAGCAGCTGGAAGATGGGGACGACGATGGTGACAGTGAGCAAGCTCTCCAGCTGTGAGCTAGCGCCGCCAGGGTGTGTGGCACCACCAGGGTGTGTGGCTCCGGGGCCCTGGGGCCAGGCAGGGCTCGGCAGTCGGTCTCTCTCGGGTCAGGGTCAAGGGAGACAAAAGCCTGTACCTGGGTACGAGAACATCAGCTCTGCAAACTCCTCACCGGTGTCGTGTTCAGCGGCTGCTGCCCGGGCACCTGCACTGGGTAACCCACGTGAGGTGGCTCCTTATGGGGACACCGACCTGGCATCCTCCTCTGAGATGGTGCTCTCCCCACACACACCCGGCTCCTTGTCCCCGAGGAGCAGAGGCTCTGGGATGGATGACGGTGTACACACAGCCGGCGTAGAGCCTGTGGAAGGAGCAAAGCTCCTGTCTGGGAGGGGACTGGCAGCTCAGCCCCGTTCACCAGCCGCCCAGGCCCCAACCAGCCAGGCTCCTGCAGCCGTCTCGCCCTCTGCAGGACTTGCTGGCCGAAGATGGAGCTAGGGACTCCAGCTCATCACCTAGGGCCCTTCCCAGACCTCCTGAAGCATCACATTCCTAGCCCGGATGCCAGGTTCGCAGGCTGAACTGTGTGCCGTCACCACAGCATCTCAAGGCGGAGGCCCTGGGAGCTCTGTCAAGGCCTCACCCCGAGCCAGAGGCATCGCAAGCTCATCGTTGGCCGGGTACCCTAGTACAGCCTCTCCATGAATGTCGATGCGCCAACAGCCAGAGGAGGACATGGCATCAATCGGGGGGCCGGAGCCACGGCCCTTTAACCCCTGTCCAGCCCCAGCACCACCACATCCGAGCGTGCAGCTGAAGACCCACATCATTTTGAGTTCAGTGCAGGTGACTGGCATGGTGGCCTCGGCCAGCCACACCGTGTTCAGCCATCCAACCCAGGAAGACCTGAGAAGACTCTCATCCCGCTTCTGAGCTGTCCTCACCACGGGCTGTGGGTGCTGGGCTGGACTCTGAGCCAGGGCGCCAGGCCTTCCGACTTTTGTGAGAATCTCGGCCTGTGCGGTTTGGGGGGAAATGAGATCCTGCTTTTCAGAGTGGCCTGTGCCAAAGCTGGGACCTCACCCTGTGGGTGGGACGGGCACTTTGTTACAGTCCGAGGGCACTGAGAATTCAGCAATAAAAGTCAGAGCCTAGAGTGGCTCGGCCCCCTCTACCACACATCTCAGATGTCACCCTGCGCCAGCCTCCACCACTGGTGCTGCGCAGAGGGGTCACATTGATGCTTGCCACGCCAAGGCTGGACCATCAGGAACCACGGCCCATGTCGCTATGGGTCATTAAAAGACAGGCTGGGAATTGTCCCTGCCCCACCATTGAAGGTGTGCCCACATGTGACAGATAGCCTAGGGCAGAAAGCTGCAGTCTCTGTCACCACCAGCATAAACTTCCCAAAACAGGGTCCACAGGGACCTGGGCACCTATGCTTGGCCAGCCCGGCCTCTGTGACAGTGACCCTCTGAGTCCTGGAGCTCAGCAGGCAACTTTTGAGTCCTCCAGCCTCCTGAGTTCAGGTGCCCAGCACCCATGCAGAAGCCAGACAAGGTGTCATCCCTGATTTTATGGGCTAGAGACAGGCGGGTCGTTAGGGCTTGATGGACAGCCAGCCTGGCCAATCAGTGAACTCCAGGTTGAGTAAGAGACCCGAGTTCCAAAGGGGGGAAAAAAATGGTGGACAGCATTAAGGAAGACACAGTGAACACACACACACACACACACACACACACACACACACACACACACACACACACGAGCTTGTGGAAGGCCAGTGCCCCGCACAGCTGGAGATCCCAGAAGAGGTGAGTGGAACAAGCCTGGGACCTCACTGAGCCTCACCAGATAGGAGTCTGGGGGTCCAGCAAGGGCCTGGAGGAGATGGTTTCTGGTCAGCAGCCAAGGGGCAGGAGACCAGACTCATCCCCCACACTGTGGTTCTTCACGCAGAGTCAGGCTGTGGTGGCTGGGACATGAATACCCTCATGTTGCTGTCTGTCCCTAGGCCTTAGAGTCCTTCCAAGAGCCCAGCTGGGATTCCTGGGCCAGCGTGGAGTTCTGAGATGGAGCATGCCGCTGCCCTGAGCACAGGTTCCGACACCAGCACCCTGGCTCTGAAGGGCGCCAGCATGTTGTTGCATTCCAGTAGGGGACAGACATCAAAACAGCCATCCTATAGCGGATGGGGACATGCCAGAAGCTGGAGAGAAGAGTCAACAGTACCTGACCCTCATTCATGCATCAGTCATCAAACCCATCCTAGACCCGAGGACAAACCCAGGTGCCTCCGTGTCTCTCTTGAGACATGGCATTCCTTGCTGGGTGGACTCCAGAGGCTGTCCCAAGCCTTGAGGTGCACACACACAGGGTGCTAGAGAGATGGTTCAGCAGTTAAAAGAGTGTGCGGCTCTTCCAGGGGACTCAAGTTCGATTCCCAGCAGCCACCCGAAATGAGCCACACTCATAAGTGCCTACAGCTGCAGCTGCGGAGGATCCGGTGCCCTCTTCCGGCTTCCGCGGGCCCTTGTACTCACGTGGCACATAAAAAGAGACACAGATACACATTAATAAAAATAAGTAATTTGCCGGGCGGTGGTGGTGCACGCCTTTAATCCCAGCACTCGGGAGGCAGAGGCAGGCGGATCTCTGTGAGTTCGAGGCCAGCCTGGGCTACCAAGCGAGTTCCAGGAAAGGCGCAAAGCTACACAGAGAAACCCTGTCTCGAAAAACCAAAAAAAAAAAAAAAAAAAAAAGTAATTTAAGAGATGCTCCCATCAGGTGCCAGACAGCCCATCCCCCACGTGTCCCCTCACCTCGGCCACCCCCCTGTCCTGATGCAGGGGATCCACGCTCCCCACAGTCCACAGGCCGCCGCTGCTGCTCAGGATAGCCGGGGCAGGATCAGCTGGGGCTGCGCACTCAGGCTTTGCCCAACAGAGCCGAGCTCGGGCTCAACATCTAATTCAATTTGTTCTGCCGAGATTGAAATATGAAATGGTTGCCAGTCAAAAACGTTCAAAGGACGGGGAAGGGGGCGGGAGAGAGCGCCTGCTGGAATTTAAATTTTAATGAAAATGACTTTAACCCTTTGGTAAGGCCTGGAGGAAATGGAGCCCGCGCTCGGGTCCTGGGAATGAAGCCTCCAGGGTTCTGTCTGCCTGTTCCCTCTCTCTGTCTCACCAGGAGTAGCTAGGCATCCCCCATCACCACCGCCACCCCTGCAGAAACGCCTTTTAAAGCCTATTGGGATGCTTGCTTCCTGGTAATATATTCACCCCTGCTGCCAGGGGTCCCATTGACATGAGCACCTTCAACTGCCCCCCCCCACGTTTCCCACCCCCTTCGGGACACATCAGCCCCACCAGAGCTTATGACACTGTGTTCCTCTTTATTGTCCAGGCTAGTCCTGTACTCCTGGGCTGTTGTGACCCCACCCGCCCACCCACCCCAGCCTCCAAGTACAGGTCCCCGTGCCCACGCCTTGCTCCGGTCAAAGCAGGAGCCCTTGGGACTTAGTGTTTGAAGTGGAGAGGAGAGGTCCCCGGTTTCTCTCTCAGAACCTCCTAGAGGTGGGTGACATCCCCCCAAGGTACCAATGCTGCACAGAGGGTTGACGCCAGCTCCATCACGGATTGGAATCAGGCAGGCTTCAGGGTCACCATCCAGACAGAGCCCTAAGACCCAGACTCGAGGGAGCAGAGTAGGCTCCATCTAGTAGTAACTAACCTGCAGTGACTGCAGAAGGGAGCCCAGGAGGAGGTGGCAGAGGCTGGACCAATGAGAGCTGGGGGACCAACACGCTCTGCAGCCATGTGACTCTGGAAGGTCACGGCTCTGCCAATGATCCGGGAAGGAAGTGGGAGAGAGTGGTTAGTGGGCAGGCCTCCAGGGACCCATGGGCTGGGTTTTCAGTAGCTGGAGGTAGAGGTGACCATGGACACCATGAAGAAGCAGAGAGGCCTCAGAACGTGTCAGCGAACAGGAGGTACAGCCCAAGGTCCTGTCCTGTGGTGGCTCACAAGTATCAGATGCCTTTTGTCCTGGGGTTCTTTGTGGGGTGGTGGTATTTAGTTGATTGTCATTCTGTTTACGGTGGTACGTTTGGGGGTGCTAGATATCAAACCTGAGACCTCATACTTGCTTGGCAGGTGCTTTACCACTGAGCCACACCCCAACCCCTCAAGTTCGCATCAAAGCCACATCAAGTATTGTGGCTCTCTTGGCCAACCAACTCCCCCTTCAAATAAAAGTCTTTTGTTTTGTTTTTTTTGAGACCGGGTTTCTCTGTGTAGCCCTGGCTGCCCTGGAACTTGCTCTGTAGACCAGGCTGGCCTCGATCTCAGAGATCTGCCTGCCTCTGCCTCCCAAGTGCTGGGATTAAAGGTGCGTGCCACCACCGCCCGGCTCAAATGAAAGTCTTGTGCAGAAACCAAACAGTGAGAGCTGCTGAGCCCAAAGCTGGGTTGTAGAGCCATCTCCCGCGCCCCCGGCACCTCCATGGTTGGGAAAAGACCAAACTGAAACCAGGCCCAGAAACAGGAAGTGTGGGCTCGAGGCAAGGGGAAGACATCAAGAGTCCACACTTCCTTCAGTTTTCAATTCATAATTCATTCTCAGGCAGTTGCCACAACAGATCCACAGGTTTTTCCAAGATCTCCAGAATACTAACGAGGGGCCAGCGAGACAGCTCATTAGGTAAAGGTGTTTGCCTCGAAGCCTGACAATCTGAGTTCAATTCCTGAGACCCACATGATAGACAGCAGGAACTAAGCCCCACAACTTGCCTTCCGACCTTCACACACACGTCCTGTGGCATTCATAACATGGCACTGCCCACCCTACAGTACATGCAAAATTATTAAATAAATATGGCATTATTTTAAATAAAAACAATGTCAGTCTAAGGGCCAAATCCAGACACTGTGTTCACATAAAGTTTTATGCAAACATCACCGTGCCAGCTGAGACCACGCATCATCTACACAGATTGCTATAGTAGAGATGAGTCATCATGACCGATTTTATGGCCACTCTTGCCTAGTCACCAGCATAGACCACCAGAGCTGAGTCTCAGCTCTATCACATACAGAGTCTATGACTTGGTACTGATTGGTTTCCTGGTGTCTCAGTGTCCTTCCAGGCAATAGCAGGACAGACACAGGTGGATGGGATGCCATCTTAGTGGTTTCTGTTGCTGCAATGAAATTCCATGACCAAGGTCAACTTGGAGGAAAGGGTCTACTTGGCCTATATTTCCATGTCGTTCGTCATCAAAGGAAGTCACGGGGCAGGAACCTGGAGGCAGGGGCTGTTGGAGAGGTCATGGAGGGGTGCTGCTTACTGGCTTGCTCATCATGGCTTGCTCAGCTTGCTTTCTTATAGAACCCAGGACCACCAGCTCAGGAGTGGTCCCCACCCACCATGGGCTGGGCCCTCCTCCCCCATCAATCACTAATTAAGAAAATGCTCTATGGGCTTGCCTACCGCCCTATCAAACGGAGGCATTTTCTCTGTTGGGGTTCCCCACCTCTCAGATGACTCTAGCTTGTGTCACAGTGACATAAAATTAGCCAGTACAGACTCGTAAGTCGTGACATGCCGAGAGCTGGGAAAAGGTCCCCAACACACACGCACTATAAAAACCTCTTCTGTTGTTATCCCACTGCCCAGTGCAAAGACAGTGTTCTCATCCTGCACACCTGGCAGGCTCCCCCCACTTCCTAGAAGCCCTGGGCTGAGGTCGTCCCCACGAGTGACAAAATAAAAGGACCTACAAGTTCATTATAGCATCGCCAGGCACCCAGGATGCCTTTGCCTCTGGCTTCCTCAATAGACCCCACTTCCCCTTAATCGCAGCCTTCCTGACAGTGATCCGCTCGGGCCGTGGCACCCCTGCCCTAGGCTCGAACCAACAACAAACACATCCATCTGTGCAGATCCACACAGCGGCAGCTCCTGCCTCCTCCTGGGAGCACTCGAGAGTCCTCCCTTTCCCACAACTCCGGCTGGAATCACCACCTCCCTGGACATCTGCAGTGCACAGAGTGACTCACCGGAATCATAGGCGGGAACTGTCACATGAGGGGAAACTGAGGCTGGAGAGATGAGCCAAGCCACTTGTGATGAACATTCCTCTCGGGTCCCACCTCACGGTTGGCTGGATGTTTCCCAGCTTCCCAGAATAGTTCCTCAGAGGAAGGAAGGTAGGTGTTCCGTGGGCATGGGGCTGTTCAATTAATGGCAAGACCACCTTCAGGTCACCATATCTGGGCCAGGCTTTACAAACCAAGTGGCCTTCACAGCAACCTGAAGAGATGAGGCTGTGGCCCCACTTGATGGATGAGGAAACTGAGGCTCACACAGGTGGCGAGCCTTGGCCGGGGTCAGAGGGTGTTGAACCTCAGCTACACCTCAACCTACACCAGAAACACCCAAATGTGTGTCTCCCATGAGAGTCCAAATCCTGCCAAGTTGACATGGAGGATGCATAACAAGAGCTTTTTCTAGAGAAGTCTAGTCCCCTATGAATCCCCGACGACATCAGCTCCGCGCCCCTTCCTGAACCACTTAGCCACTGCCACGAAAGTGCATAGAGATCACCAAGCCCAGTGGCTCAAGACACAGCATGTAGTGGAGGGCTGCGGTGGCCTGTCCTTATCTCAGGTTCATCTTACGTGCCTCTGCCTTTGGCTGCGGGTTCGTCAGCTGGCGCTGCAGATCTTGCCTGGCCTCTTCCCCATGTCAGGCTCATTGCTTGTCTGAGCTGACTCGGGGTGACCCGGTCCCTCCAGCAGGCCAGCCAGGGGGAAGTCAGAACGCAAGAGCTTGCTTTAAAACCTCTCGGGTCGAGTATGCTGTTGCCCATAAGTCCCAGGGGAAGACCCAGAGTCAGCAGGAGGGGCCCGGGGAGAGGACTCAGCGGCAGAGTGCTTGCCTCAAATGCACAGGGCTCTAGGTTCAATCTCCAGCATTACTTCAAAAAGAAAAGATTTCAGAGTCAGTGGAAAGGGCTGTGTCCACAGGCGGGCGTGGATATGGGGGAGGAAAGACACGAACATTGAGGTCACGAGTGCCCTCAGTCTCCCACACATTTTAGAGCACCTTTTGCCTATGTCTCTCCTTGAGCACTGCCCTGGAACCAGACCCACTCTGTGGCTCTCCTGTTCACCCCCACCCTTCCCCAGTTGCAGCCCGTCTGCCATTCACATGTAGACACCACTTCAGAGCAGTGTTCACTGGCCCCGACCACCTCACCTGACCCCTCGCCACACCATGGTCTGGGGACCCCATCATCTGGCTGTGAGCCCTTTGTAGGACAAAGATGGTGTCTTCTTGCCCCTGCCGTCTCAGGGGCCCCCCACTGCCTTCTGCTGGCACCAAGGCAGATTTCTTACTTACCAATCTGAGGCTTGCCATGCCCAGCCCAGGAAGGTGTTGGCTAGGCAAGTGGCTTATCTCTCAACTTTAGAAGGAGGAGCATTGGTAGGGACCCAGTGGGTGCTCCTCAAGCCCCTGGGGTGTGGGTGGACTTTCCAGCTAATGCTCTCCACTGGCAAGGCCTGGGTTCTGTCTTCCCTTGGCAGTTCATGGGAAAGGGGGGCCATCATCCCTACCAGGGTGGCCCGTAAACAGAGCCCTTGCTCTTGGCTCCCCGGGGCAGCTGAGGGTGGCAAATGGTGCCAATCCCTGGTTGAGAAGGTGCCCAGGGACCCCACCAGCCAGATCCAGTTCATCTTATTCCCCCAGACTTGTCCTTTTAGACCCAAAATCCCCCCCCCCCAGGGAAAGCTTTGAATTTAAAAAAGCTTCGTCTGGGATGTGGCCTCATTTCTCTGAGTTCTGATTTTTTTTTTTTTTTTGCGATTCCCCCAGGCCTGGCCGCCCTCACTCTGGAGCCTGACTCAGAAACAGAGGGCCCCCACTTTGCCTGTCTCCCTGATGCCGTGGCCTCGTTTCAGAGGGGGGGGGGACCCTTGAAGGAGCCAGCATCTCCCAGCAGGCTGGGTCTGAAAAGCAGTCTCAGCTCTGCCACCTCCTCGCCCTGCTAGGTGAGCATCGGCTGGCCTTTGCCCTGTACCTGCTGGCTCCCAAAGTTCACAGGGTAGTGGATGCTAGGGCAGAGGCAGTTGGTGTTGATTTTCAGGGTTTTGTAGGTTTGTTTGTTTGGTTTTGGTTTTTTTCTGTCCAGTGTTTTCTTATATTCTGACTGGGAGAGTGTCAGTTTCTGGAGCAAGCGTCATCCTCTCTCTCAAGAGGAGGCCACACCCAAGAATCCCCATCCTCAGGTTGTGGAGTTAAGGGCCACACACCACTCACCACAGTGCAGGCTGGAATCCCCACACTGCCTAGACTCTGATAAGAAGGTCCCCCAGATCCGCCTCTGCTCCCGCACTTGAAGACAGGGAGAGGACCACTCCTTCCAGATGGTTCCAAGGACCCAGAGGATGTTTATCAAGCCAGAACCAAGTATCAGGTCCAAGGGAAACGTGGCAGCCTTCTCTTCTGCAGAGTTTTGCTGATCGCTGCCCAAAACTAGGCAGTGGACAGTAAGCCAGGGGAAGAAGTCCAGATTCCCCATGTCCTCATCCCCGGAGACTAGGGAACTAAGTGACAGATGACACCTGTGTGGCATGTGCCAGGACAGTGTGGCAAGCATGCACAATGGGGGAGGCCAGCTCCGTGGTGGATCGTTGATTCTGAATTCCAGCCCTGATCCCCAGTAAAAGGAAAAGAACAGTGGAAGACCTGGATAGGGTGGGAGGGCTGAGCCACCTCTAAAGCAGGGAAAGAGGGGCCACTGATGGGAGGCCATGGCTGCCCAGCCCTCTTGGTCATTCTGGCTGGAAGCCCTGGTGCCACCCCCCAGGTCCTGGCCACTGCAGAGATAGTATGCTGTCATCAGCCAGGGACCGCTCCCAAGACACCACTGTCCCCCATCTGAGGACTGTGGCAGTGTTTCAGGGATGCGCGGATCCCCCTGTCATCCTGCAGGCCAGGAGCAGTCACGTGGCAGCTGGCTGAGGCCTCAGACGTGTCGGCTCATGAATATCAATCAGGCCAAGTAATTCACAGAAAGAGGAGTCCAGATTGGCTAATAAGCAATGCTTTCACCCCAAACCGGGCCTGGGGAAGCAGAGCTACAGCGGCGGGCAGGTGTGGGCATGATACGGCCGGAATTGGAAAGCCAGACCGCGGAGCTGTAGGCAGGGGTAGGTAGGGGGCCGCCGGGAAGCCTGAGGAGAGGGTGTCCCTCACAGGCAGCAGGCTGGGGG